AATGTATGGACAAATATTGACCATTATATTTGTGAGTAAATACCTGTTGTTTAATTAATTTCCACCTCTACAAGGTTGAGAGAATAAATGCGTCGACAAATATTTGATACTTATTTAGGTGTAAGAACTCGTGTTTGACCAACTTCCACCATTGCAAGTTGTTAAAATAATGAAATAAATATACTGGTATCATTGGATATTTGATTTAATTGTGAAACTTTCTAACAAAACGTTAACTGCTGGCTTCGAACCCTCAATCAACAATTCCGCAGACACGGTATAAATTCAACAACACCACAGAAGATATTCGTCTGTTGCCTGAATTGTTTTCGTAATATAGGTAGGGAACGCCATCGACACTTTAACAAAACTTACCTTGACTTGGGTCTTGTTTATCTCTTGTCACAATCTGGAAACTGTTGAACAAATTGCGCGTCGTCCAGTTTAAGACGTTAGTTATTTTATTATTTATTCATTCAGTTTTGTATGGTGCAGTTTTGTGAGGTTTATTATTTTTTGCGACGTTCTTTGTTTACTTGTTTACGGTTTGAGAGATTTCAGTTTATTTGATTTACGTTTTTACGGTAGCTCTGAGCGGGACTCGAACCCACTGTCTTTTCAAGCTAATTTTGTTTTATTTTGATGGCACGCTTGTGTACCACGCTACGACGTTGGTCGTTAAGTGGTGTTCATTTTTCTAACTACTCTAGTGTTCCGATGAGTTGAACGGAAAAGCCAAAACGATTGCTGGTTTCTGATTGCTTCGGTTCTGGTGAGTGTGTATCTAGTGTGATTCGAACCCATGTCGTTTGTATTGGGCGTTTTTTTATTTCCCATTGTAGTACGCCGTAATATGCAACCACTTCCCCGTTTTATTGTGATTTTGAGTGTTTAATGATGTCTTCCTCACCCGTCACGCCATGACCCAGTTTCAACCACACGGCCCTTTTGCAACACAGTTCGTGACCCTCGGCGTCACCCGACTGACTATATGAGCGTTCTCTTCAACTGTTAAGCTAGGATTTATTACCGTTATTATCATTATATTGTCACGTGATTTGTTTTACCTTATGTGTAATGTCTTAAGTATCTTTATTGTAATTTGTATATACCAATTCGTATATACCGAGGAAACGACCCCGATTGAAGGTCATGTATTTTATGACGTCACCAATTCGTGTGTAGGTACTGCTTCTAGATCTGTGCCGTGCGTACAGTTGATCATAGTTCCTGGGCTCCCTGTGCACAGATGTAAAACAGGGTACTTGTTTTTTTGTAGCCATCACAATCGGAAGATAAAAACAAATGTTATTGTCACTACCTTAAATCGGACGAATGAACTTTGGGACGAACAAACTAATGGGACGAATCAATCGTCAATAATATTAATCTTGAATGTTGCAAAGACACTTCCTGTCGCCGAATATTAAGAAAATCACACACAAAGTTCGCCACATGTATGTATACTACACCTTTCGTTCCTCTGCAAATGCTTGTCGGTTCATGGCAAGGTCAATTCAGCCCAAAGCAGAAATAACCAAATAAATCTAGTCGTTAATATCATAGTATGATGACTAACAAGATTCCTTCCAATCTGCGTCCAGATCAGTTGTGAAGCGGTCCCAGAATTTACTTTTTAAAATGGCCGCCCTACCACGTCTCGTAAATTGCGTTCTTTCAGCAGTGCGAGATTAAAACAATCGGACGAAGTTATAATGATCTAACATTCAGTAAAATTATGACACATCCGAGTCTGTTGATTATAACACGGTCATTGTGTCCTAAAAAATCACGGAATAATTCAAATCAACCTGGAAATATAACAGATTTGAAAAGCACGTGACAAGCAAAACGAGATCGCCTCGTTTTCATATCATAACAAAAATGGCGACGAGAAATAGTTTTGTAATGAGTGTTAGTGTTTCGGTGGTTTCATGTCATGATAGTCACTACTTTTAGGAAAATAACTGGGAATATATATCAGGAAAATAAACACATCAACGTAATGGCAACAAAGTCATCAAAGAGGAATGATTCGGAAGTGTCCGATAAGGTGAGATAAAGCAATTTGTGCACAGGTGAATGATTTGTTGTGTACATCTGTGTACATATCCGGGAGGAAAAAATACGGTATATAAAAATATACACTATCATTTTTTTTTTTGCATTTTGCAAATAGACATAGACGCTGTCGTATACATTGACAGGTGAAGCCTAGGACTTACTCTGACCCAAAATAAGCAAGCAGGGCACTTCCTAAAAAAAACGGACAACCCAAGGATCTGTATATACATGTAGGAGGAGGCAGCTAATGTAGCAACCAAACCGTGATTTCCGATCCTGTATAAATAATATTCAAAAGGATGCAGTGGTTTACTAATTGTAAATCATAAAACCCTGTGAATCACGTGACATATCATAATTCTTTGCTCAAAGTACATGTACATGTATGAGTTATTGAGCCCTTCCATCTATTTTTCTTAAAATCACAATGGCGACCAAACAACTTTACTGATCACAAGAAATTCTGACCATAGATACTACCACTAATCATGTATGCTTTATTTTAAAATCAGTTGAGAGAAATTAAACAGATGCAATCAAACTGGATGCATCAGAGAGCCAAAATTAAGGAATATGGTGAAGATTCTAGTGTACCAAGGGAGACCAAGGCTAGAACAAAATCTCTTAAGAAAACAGAAGACACATCAAACAAATCAAAGAATGCAAAGAAAGGTACGTACAGTAAATTTCTATTGAAATAAATAATTAAAGATGTAAAACAGCTGCTTGGGCCCAAATTTTAAAAACAGAATAGGCCTTAATAGCTACCTACTGATATAGTAGTATATAAATTAATAAACGCTGCTCAGACTGATAAATATGATATATAGAAGATAATATTTGGTAATTGTAGTCCTAAATAACTATTAAAAATAGCTAGACGTTTCGAGCAATGGCTCTTTATCGATAGCATAGAAGAAAATGTACAAAACAAAACATTTTCTTCTAACGGCTGTTTTTATTTTTGGCCATATTACAACTACGCGGAACATGTGTTTTGATGTAAATAAACACACTCGTGACAACTTCTCCTCTTTAATATGATGAGCACAAAGAGAACTTTCAAAAATTTAATGGAGACTGTCATTTTCAATGACTTTTTCTTATAAGAAACTAAGGTTATACATGCTACATGCCAAATATCTAGTTGATTTGTTAAAACAATCCTGAGAAACAATTTTTTGGCAAAAATGGTTGTAAAATCATGCGACTGATCCAAATAATTTGTTTGCTGTCTGAATGAGTTTGATATACATTGTAAGAATGCAACATGACATGACTTAGTCGACTGAACAGAGTTGTTCATATTACTGATTGTCTTGCATTCCGCAGCATCAACTTTACATTTTCAACTTCTTGAAAACAGCTGTTTGCTTGATATTTGGGGGACATTGTACAATGTACCTTGAGTGAACCTCTCTCAGATTTGTACTGTGACATATCATGTGAATTTCACATGGAACAAGTGTGCAAGGTTTGAGGTTCCTAGCTATTAAACCATGTGGTCACACATGGAACACATCTGCCATATCTTAAGACCATGGCTATTTCTCCCCTGTAATTATAACAAGCATAAACTCGTACTGTGACCTGACCTTCAACCTTAAAAGATAGTAAGGTCGCACAGGGTACATATGTGCCAATTTTGATGGCATTCAGGGTTCCCTCTGGCTAATATGAAACAGACTCGTCTGTCACAGATTCATGATGATTTTATGCTTTTGAATCAACACTTAA